TCCAGGCATTTTGTGGACTGGATTCTGGCCTCAGGTTTATAGGCATTATAGGCACATATTTAGAGTCACACCAAAAGAGTTCAAGAGCAAAGGTCTAAGCCAAGAATGTTCTGAACATTTGGAGCATTTTGCTGAATTCAATTTCTGAAGCCACTCTATAGCTGCTCTTTATTCTGAAAAAAATCAAAACAAAGCAATATTCTTCTCCACTTTGTCTTTGGTCTAAGGTCTCCTGTATTTAAAGTTGGCTCACTCAGCTTAATAAACATATGCGTATGTGACTTGTATTATATACACTGTGTGAAAGAGATGCCCAAATGGATCCTTAGATCCAAATCCCCCCAAATTTGGAAAAAAAAGATTGTACTTCAGCTGATCATCACTTACTGAAATGTTCTGAAAAAAAAACCCAACAGGAAATATCAAGATGAGCTTGAGATTTGGAATAACATTAGCGCTTCAAACTTTTTTGGTTTCTTGTAGAGCCTGCACTGGGCTGGACATGCCCATTTGATAGAATCAGAACAGGTGCATTAACTCAAAGTTCATTGAACCTTTTTTGCTTTTTACTGTTTTTCATTTTAGTACACTTCTTTACCCCCAGACCTGAAAAAGGATTAAATGCCAGAAAGGAGACAGATCACTCAGCATTTCTAATCACATACCAGAAATCTCAAGACACATAGTTCTCACAAGATTTTCTACTTTCTGTAGGCCATAAAAGGCTCAGATAACCTTCTAAAGTCCGCTCTGATCTCTTTAGTCATCAAAAAAGAAGTTTTTATTGCAAATCTAAGCTAGGTTTCTACTACAGTGATCACATTCAACCAGTCCAATTTCTTGCCACCGTTTCAGAAGTTATTTATGCGTTCATTCATTAGGACGGAGTAATGGAAGTCTTCATTCAAAACAAGATTCTGACATTGAAAACAAGGCTGTAATTATTGCAAAAAAAGCCCCAGAGTACCGCAGGGAAACATTTCTATACACATTATTTAATTTCAGATTGTTATAGGCATTTGCTTTGTCTCTGTCTTTCATGTTCTCTTTTCGGAAACGCTCCAGAGCGGCGGTACTGTCATCGTGAACAGAAGAGTGCGCTCACCTGTTTGGCCTCCATGAGAAGGGGGCAAATACTGTATCATCTGAACTGCAAACAGGTTAATTAAATTTTGCATTTTCCATTGCCTTCACCACTGTGAAAGTGAATTTCAAATCAAGGAAATGATTGACTTGCTTTCGGTGAAATTTCTGGAAATTCTCGTCCTAGTAGTGAAGCACTTCAGCGCATGTTCTCCTGAGAGGTCAGGCAGTCTGGTAGAAATAGCTAATTAGTTGAACTGCCAAATTGCTATTTATCTGGCTATGATAAAATCTTTTAGTCCTGGCCTTGCTGAAGAAGTTGATGCTTTCAAAAATTCCAGCCTTTGTCTCTTTTCCCTGAGTTGTTGTGTATTTAAATTAAAATTGATATTACTTATCTGCTCTCTCTAGAGGGGTACTGCATTGCAGGCCCTGGGCACAGTCTGACTTTTCAGTACAGGTTTCTACAGTACCTAACAAGTCCCCCAAGCTGCTGAAGATGATAAATGTAATAAGGTAATGTCCTGCCATGAAGAATGATTAGTCTGCAGCTTACAGTTTAAGGTTGCTGAAGACAGATCAAATGGGACCTAGTCTGAGAGTGAAGAGCTTCTGCAAACACAAAATCCTTTCTTAGGAGCTGTGTTTGAACGGCAGGCAGTACAAAGTCACACTGCGGTGTGCAGAAGCCTTTGACCATTCCTTTCGATGGCAGATGCAGGCACACACGTGTCACCAGGCAGGCTCCGCACCGACACCCGCATTCGCAGCCATCTCGGATCGAGGTGACTTTTTACTTCAGTCATCTGAGCTGAACATTTTAAGAAAAGGAGTGAAAGAACCAGGGGGGGGTGAAGGAGGGCGGCGGTGCTGGGCGGCCCACGGGGGCCGGTTACACACGCGAACAGTGGCATCTAGTGGGGACTTGGTCAGAGGGGACAAAGTCCGCAGGCCTGGGGTGTAAAACAAGTCAGCGATTACAGCTAATCGTCTGGTTATCTCTTTCACAGATGAAAGATTTTCCCAAGTCTGTTGTAATCCTTTTCTGTAAAAGCATTCGGAAAGCAAGTATTTTTCCAGTTTTCCCATTTTCAGTATACAAATTTCAGAACATTTGTTCTTCCTATTTTCATTACATTAAGCCCTCCATGGCTTTCATATGTAAATTCTAATTAATTAAAGTCATATGGAGTATCATAAATCTTCACCCAGTACGAAAGCTAATGGTTTGCATGCGCTTATAAAAGTCTAGCATATTTCCCCAAGATTTTAGACATGGGCAAAAAGAAACCTCAAACTAGTCCTTGAACACACTTGATCTAGTTCAACTTCAGATTATTTCAAGCACAGCATGGCTTTGAAGGAAAGATCTGTGTAAAGGAAGAGAGGAAACCACAGTAGAGCAGCCACAGTGAAGGACTCTGGAAAAAGCGTGATTACATAATTTCTGTAGCTATAACGAAGTATAATGTTTATGCGGTGTTAACATTTTGTGCTAAGTATGTGTGAGTTTTTTCACTACTGAGTCATAATAAATGCTTGAGTTAGTTTATATCTGCCCCTGTTCTTTGATTAGTCCACTGGATTACATGTAAAACACTGTTTATATTTTAGGGACATACAGGAATGTATAATAATCAGGATGAGGGGTTGCTACATCCATGGCAATAGTCTAAAGCAGGCACACTCATGCCTTCCCTCTCTCTTTAGACTGCAGAGTTTGCCAGGGCTGAGAAAACTTCTGAAAGTCTGCTGTGCTGTGATGGCCTCCTCTTCTTTGACTGTCTCTCAGGTAGGTTGAAAGGTGTTTCTCTGTTTACTTGCAGAACCTAAATTAATTTTCATGAATGAAGGACTTGGCTTCTTAAATCTGGCAGAAGAGCTGGATGTCTTAAAAAGAAGTATCTTGGCTATGCTCTTCATGATCACAGGATTACAGAGGCACTGATAGGCTTCAGCCTAGGTTTTTCTTCTTTACCCTCATAATTTTCTGTTCTCTCTCTTTTTCTTCACACTTTTTTTCTCCCTTTGTTCTTCATGTTTCAAACTTTCCTGTTTGGTGTCTATTGTTTTTCCTGTCTTCGGGGACCAGGAGGTACTTCAATGGTCAGTTCTACCACTGAACAGAAGTGTAGATACTTTTAAGAGAGAGTTTACTTTTGTAAAGAAGCTTAAACAGTGGAATTCTATACACACTGGTAGTGGTTTTGATTGGAATCTGAGAGAAAACACAGGCTGGCTCTTTTGCCCATTGGCTGGATGAATAGACCTGACGAGAATGTGAGCTAAAGACTAATAACAATCCACCAAAATTTTTTCCCTTATGAAGTGGGAGAGAGCATGGAACAGGCACCTGGAAGTACTTCACCTTTGTATGTTTCTAGTTTTCTCTTTATAAATTAGACATAGTAATACTTAACTTTTCTTTGGAGATACCTATATGAGATCCTTCAACCCTAATGTGGAGAAGCAAACTTAAAAACAATAAACAGTCTCTATTCCACACGTATTTTTAGGATTATCTCAGTGTTGCTGAGGTAGACCTTGAAGCTGCTGTTTAACCTTACTAGTTATCTAACTCATGACAGCGTATAACTAGGTGGGAGTTCTTTTATTTTGAGAGAAGTACTTAAATTGACTTTCACTGCATGAATTTCGGCATAATTGGTATCAGCATGAAATTTTCACTGCACAAGAAAAAACAGACCCAGGATTTCACCTAATGACTTTAACTTCAATGGAGATATGCAAATTGAGATCGATGTATTGAGACTATTATGAATGAAGCACACAATAGCAGCCTGATTATACTTTTTTACACTCCCAGATTTAATCTATGATTTCATCTTGACAGTAGGGGAAAGCAAGCCTTTGATGCTTTGAGATTTAAATTATTTCCTTGGAATGATCTAGGAGAGCTCTTTTACTGGAAGGAAAGTGTACCAGAAGGACTGTTGATCTATGTCAGCCTACCAAATACTCTGTTGCAGTAGTAATTACCTTATATATCTTCATAAAATTTGTTTTTATTTTGCTTCCTGTCCTCAGGCTTTTAGTGTGACTGCAGTGAGGAACTCTGAAAGTTACTTTGGTCCATTCATAACTAATTCTATTGCCATTACAGATCGTAACAGTCAGGTAAGAGCCATCAAGAAATTTTTCATGTTGCTTTGCAGATATCATGTGTTTACTATCTGACTGTATTTGACATTCTATACCAAGGCATAAGTTGTAAAGGCATACAGGCAGAAAAGGGATACATGTGCTTGACCTGGCAAGCCTTGCCGGTGTCCTGGGGTTCTTGCTGGGGTTTTGGGGTGCTCACTGCGGTCCTAGGGTGCTCACTGCAGTCCTGGGTTCTCTGGGGTCTCAGCACCTTCACTGGGGTTTTGGGGTGCTCGCTGGTATCCTGGAGTGCTCGCTGGGTTTCTGGGGCTTTGCTGCGGTCCTGGGGTGCTCGCTGGGGTCCTGGGGGCTTCACTGGGGTTCTGGGGTCTTCGCTGGGGTCCTGGGGGCTTTGCTGTGGTCCTGGAGGCTTCACCACTGTCCTGAGGGGTTGGCTGCTTTCCTGGGGGCTTTGCCGCGGTCGTGGGGTTCTCGCTGGGGTCCTGGGGTGCTCGCTGCGGTCCTGGGGGCTTTGCTGGGGTCCTGGGGTGCTCGCTGCGGTCCTGGGGGTTCGCCGTGATTCTGGGGTTCTCGCTGCAGTCCTGGGGTTCTCGCTGCGGTCCTGGGGTGTTCGCTGGAGTCCTGGAGGGATTTGCTGGGGTCCTGGGTGCTTGCTGTTGTTCTGGGGTGCTCGCTGGAGTCCTGGGGACTTCACTGGGGTCCTCGGGTTGATCACCAGGTGCTCACCACCTTCTCTGGGGTCTTGCAATGTTCATTGGAGTCTCAGAACCTTCATTTGGTTCCTGGGGTGTTCACTGGTCTCTCGGGGTCTTCACTGGAGTGTCTAGGTTAACACTGGTTTCTTGGGGTCTTCTCTGGGGTCCAGGGGCCTTCAATGGGGTCTCAGCACCTTCACTGGGTTTTGGGGTTCTCTCTGGTATCCTGGAGTGCTCGCTGGGTTTCTGGGGCTTTGCTGCGGTCCTGGGGTGCTCGCTGGGGTCCTGGGGGCTTCACTGGGGTTCTGGGGTCTTCGCTGGGGTCCTG